GATTATGTTCGCTTTTTATGTTCAATGTTGCCACTGGCCTTCGGAATTTTTGAATAGCCTAATACCATAAAAATGTTTGCCCTTAAAGTTTAATTCGTACCATCATATCATACTAAATATTCAGTCTCAACTGTGTCTTTCTTCTGTTTGTGCAGAGGAGGTAGGATACAGTGAGTTTATAGAAGCTTTTTTGCCGAAAAAAGCTGCATGCTGCTTGTGGCTGAGAATCTGATAATGAGAGCTGTGACGATCAACCAAAACCCCTCCGCTCATAAATCAGTGTTTCTTCTTGTTCCTACAATGTGCTGTTTGAATGCTCTCTGCTGCAGAAGTTTGGACACTAGAAGGGATGTTTTCACATTCGTCTGCTAAAAGTGGAACGTTTCTCTGTGCTCATTGAAAATCTCTTTAAGCTGAACTGAAACAAATGAGCTGAAAGACTCTAAAGTGCTTCTTAGGGATAAGGAGAACTGCAGAGTCGGGTAAATTCTTTGTGGGTTTGTTAGTGAAAGCGACCAGGGGAATATTCAGACTTTTATGACTAGGGTGGCACAGGTGGGGCACTGACTTAGCAGGGTGTCATGCGTCTTAGCTCACTCCCTAGTTATGCAATTCCAATACTGTTCAGGGACCCAATGAACAGAAATATTAAAGTGTATAAATAATTCATGCAAAAAACTGCATGGGATTAGCATAAAGTGGGCATGTCTTTAAAGGAGAGACTTGTGGGTACCCATAGAACCCGTTTTCATTCAGATATCTTGAAATCAGAGTTCAAGGGATCCCTTTGAAAATGGCCATGCTAGCAGGTCATCTAGTTTCATTTGATACCAGTATCTAGCTTTAAACAGAGCCCACTAAAGCCTCTGAAAGACAGTGAGAGTGGATGAGGTAAAAATAATGGGGTGGCACTTGGGGTGGCCAATCAGATTTCAGGAGCCAACCCTTAAGTAAATTCAGCACTGACAGAGCAGTGATGAAGTAAGATACAGCCACTGCTCATACTGATGCATGATATCAGGTGAGTATGGCAATTCACTTTCAATATCATTCAGGTTGTTATAGTAAGAGTAGGCTAAAAGTTGAATTAGTCGCCAGTGGAACCTATCAGCTACAAGAGGAGGTAATAGGTTCCACTTTTTTGCAAGAGGGGAGACAACTGAATCATAAAAAGGGAGAAAGGGTTTATTTCCCTGGCAGCATGAATGTGCTCAGCAATTTTCACAACAGTAAAATTTCACCATGACTAACAAATGGAGAGCTGTCGACTCACAGAGCGAGTCACTGTCTACCAGATTTTCCGCTTAACCTGACTTCTGACCTCAGAATTTAAAGACTACACAACCAACACCAGTATCACAACAGGCGTTCTAACACTTAAGGGGAATGTCTGCTTCCCAGAATAAGCCTTGTAATCCAAGTCTTCATGTAACCTCTAGAGATTTCACCGTTGGATATTAGCAGGCAGGAGTAATGTAGCAGCCGGGATGAATGAAGCATCAAAAGAAGAGGGAAACAGATGAGGATGGTACCAATCTGCATTTCACATTAATGTAATTCATCACCTCAATCATGTGTCTGGACTGACTGGCTTCATATGTCCGATACATCCTGTTCTCCACACAGCCAGCCTGAATCAGTGCTGACAGAGACACACACATTTTGAAATCCGTCTTGCATAACAGGATGATAAATGATTGATGGAAAAATTCATTCACCTTCTAGATAAAGTTTCATTGTATCTCTTTGCAGTATCAGAACTGAGTCTTTATTGTCAGAAAAGGTAATAATAATAATAAAATTCATAGGTATGTTTTCATTAGTGTGTAATCACCTGACAATAAGAATTGCTGTGTATTTGTAACTTTAGAATGAGACGTTTTTATCAACAGACATCACTGGTTGCCTTGAATGGAGACCGCCATGCTAAACCGCCATTTCTATAGTAGCTGGTCACGTTTTCATGCATTTCACGGCCACCGTAGTTTCTCCTTGGGGGGTGAAGGGAGACCGCTGTACTGTATGCCACTAAATCCTATATACTGATCCTGTAAACTGCTAAAGCTAACTAGCTTAGCATCTCATTCACTGCAATCTTTGTTTTTGACTCTAGTGGAATTCTTGTTTTTCAGTGTAATTAAGCTCCCATTGTTATCACATATTTAAATGTATCCAATTGTTAATTAATGTAGCATATGGATTTTAATCAATTGTAGACAGGCACCTCACAAAACAGAGATACATTTAATTATAATGAACTATAAATGGTAAATAATGAAAATAAAGTTTAATGTCTTAGACAAACTAGTTAAAATGGATAAGGAAGCTGAAAAAACCCATTTTATTTCCCCCTGGCATTTCCTGATTATCCAAAGCCAGAGTGCAGTATCAAGTTATTATGTCGCTTTTATAGTAATGACTTTTTGAGGTAAAATAACCAGCCTAAATAGACATATATAATAATAATAAAGGCATTACAGCCTTTGTAGGACAGTATATATTAATGAAGCTGGTGTTCAATGAAATCCAGCTCCCTAATAGCTAATCCCTACAGGCTGCGGCAGACTTGAACAACTTGATTACCTATAAAAATCTTACTCCTCAAACTAACAAGGGTAAAAGGATGTGCTTGCACTAAAGCAGGTGGTGCACAGTACCGGATGGAGGTTTTTGTCAAAGTAATGGGATGGTGGGATAGAAATGGGTCACAGCATTACTTAGGGGAAATTGCCAGCCAGACTCTATAATGGAAATGCTGTAATCTTGCTGGTCTATGATGTAAGGTATATTTCCTTCCAGTAGTCTTTTCTTCTGACAAAATGTTTGGAAAGACATTGTGCAAGAGCAATGCTGCTGTTAATATTCATAAAGTATTAGACAATTTTGATGAAAACAGGAACGCATTCTCAATTTGAATGGGATATCTTTTGGACAGAAAAGTTTGGAAATAAAGTAAAACTGGGCTCGAAGGTTCATTCTTGACCTTGGATAACCCATGAATCAATCACTTATTTGGTGTTTTGTTTGAAGCTTTCAAGTACATGTCATAGCCTTCCTCAATGAATGGAGTTGTCACATAGCTCTTAAATAAGTCTCTAAAGTAATAAATCAGGTTTGTCTGATTTATCTGAGCTAAGACAAGGTCACCAAAAATGGTGAAAGGGCCTTTATTGTATGATGACTTTTTCTCCACCTTTACTACATCATATGCAGCCTTAATCGTTTATGTTTTGTCTGTGAATTGAGGACATTTCTGTAAAATAATTGAAAATGTTATGTCAGACAGTATGTACAGGCAACAAGACAACAGATAAGTCTGCTGAAGAAGAAATGGTTATAAAACTGTCCCAAAACACTGTCTGCCCTGTTGTCTGAAAGGCTTCCCCAGCCAACTATGTATCATCCTCAGGCCGTATCTACTCAGGGAGATTACAAGGTTTAATTGAGAGAGAGAGAGAGAGAGCCATAAGAACAGAGGGATTCTTGTATGAAGGAGGGGGGCTGTGGAGGGTTATTTATTTATAAGCAGTTATTTGCATGTTGACGGAGTAAAATAGAAATGATGCGGCTGACTAGACTGATGATAAAGGAAGGATTTAAACAGTCCAAAATGTATATATTCCCATTTTTTCTTGTTGTATTAATTTAATTTTAAGTTTACTAACACTTTGGGTATGGCAGCAGATGTCAGATCTTGGTACATGAGTTCTTTGCTTTAATCTAATATAAAGGTCCTAAAATATAAGTCGACTTGTTGTATAACTGTTTATCCTCACAATCACCAGTTTTGACACTATGTCAGAGTTTGAGTAGCTGATGGTAAATTGCGACATCTAGTGGTCTTATTGAGAACACTTTGTAAAAGATGGACCTATTTTGAGTCTTTGAGCCAGACACAAGCACTCTCCTCAGACACACACTTCATCCAGGACGGTGACCTTTGCAGTTACATTAGACAGGACTAACTTCATTGTCTGGAGAAGATATTTAAAAGGTACTAATCAACCCTGCAGGCTGGAGAGGGTCCAATGCTTCCTTCATGTGCTATAAAAACATGAATACAAGCCCCAGAATTAACCAGCAAACGTCAGGATTTTCTCCGACACCCAAGTTAATGAGGTGTGAAATTTATGAGGTGAAGTCATGGAAAATATTATCTTTATATTGTATTTTATTGTTAGAAGTCATTTCTGGAAATGGCCTTCTGTAACTATTACGTTCCCCTGGCATGTTTGCATTAGCTGTTGCATTTAAGGTGACTTATTCAAACTGAGAAGCCCTTTTGTTCTCTGGATGTTATGGAAATAAAAACGTTTATATCTTTATATCGTATTGGTTGTGTCTTGTGATATTCTGTATATATGTATTAACTAGGCTATGTGTACTCTTCCTTTCTTCTGCTCTAAATGCTTCCAAATTAGCTTACATTTTTGCGTTTTACGAGAAGCACTTGAATGCAACATGAACCCAAGGCAGCCGAGGCGGTCTCTTTGAAGTTTGCCGGGCTGGAGCTGAATCCACCTTCTGAGGTAATTATTAAGTTATTGTAAAAACATTTTTGAATAATGACATTTTATGTAAGAGTCTATACACGAGTCAAAATAAACTCGCTTGATACAAAACTGTTTTGTGATTTAACCGCGAAAATATACGGTCAAAAGGGCAGAAGGTTATGCTAAATGTTCGGTTTCAGTCTGGTTTTGCTAAAGCCATCCCCTCTATCGGATTACTTGCTCTAGTTTTCAGCCAGGACATTAAATTGACAACATTTTGAAAAACTGGGGAAAATACTGTGTATCTAAATGTAAGTAATTGTAAATCCATGCTATCATCACTTCTTCAGCTTGATACAGTTACATTGTTGCAGACTCCATGTGTTAACATCCTGTTAGCAAAGAGATTTCCCACGCTGAGGAAAGTGTAATAAAAATAATATAGTATATAGCACATCTTATAATACAGCAAATACACACTTAAATAGCAAATATTCCCTTATCGAAATGTATGACCCTGTTCTGTTTCCTATCGGCTCTGATGGAAGGTGCTACTCAGAACAGAGGCCCAGGTTGTGATTGCTTGTAGGAAGTGGGTCTTCTATATGTGCCTGCTAAAATATGGATTAAAGCTGTAATTCATAATATGCCAGAGTAACGCATGTTGTATCACAGATATACAGTAAATACTATTTAAAAGCCAGTAGAGCTGTTAAGGGTATTATGCAGATGGTTTATGTCCTCTGGGAAATACAATACTGACCTGTCGTCCTGTTGATGTATAGACTATAGTCTTTGCTTCACTGAGTCTATCTTTACTGAGGCAGTGCACATTCATCATGTCTGCCGCCTTGTGCCTGGGCTCGATGTAAAACCATTAAAGTGACAACCAAAAAAGTCCTGCGTTTAAACCCTCATTAGGGAGCAAGACACCAACACAGACACGTCTCAAACAGTTCCGCAAGATCGGCTGATACACACACTCACACAACATAACTGTATGCAAATAGAGCTAACAGACAAAGCCACATGAAGCTGCTGAACAAGTACATAGAGGGGAGAGAAGATTGTAAGATGAAATGAAAGCATCTATGTATGTACAGGTGACTAATGCAGATTATTTTCTCGATTAACTGATAAAACGTCAAAAAATATTGAAAAACATCTGTTATAATATCCCACAATCCAAATTCAACCAGCAGTCCAAAACCAAAGATATTTAATCTACTATTATAGATAGTATTTATTATTTGTAAAGCTGGAACCAGTGAATGTTTGGTGTTTTTGCTTCGAAAAGAACTAGAAATCAGTAATTGAGTATCAAAATAGTTTCATTTTCTGTGGATTGACAAATAATATATTGTTATAATATATATTAAACTGACTAATCATTGCAGCTTTAAAGGACATACTGCACTGCAATCTTAGTGTTAATGCCTGTAAGTTAAAAAATCAATCCACACTCAGTTGTCAGTTTCTTAGGTACACCTGGCTGAAACAATTCATCCATTCATGGATTAGTAGTAGTAGTAGTAGTTGTCCTACACCTAGCTAAAACTAAGAGAGTAATAAAACAGCCCTGCAGTAAAATGTACCCTCCTGACAAATATAATGTCCGTTTGTATTTTTGGAGTATGTCTGGCCTCCTGCCTGTTGGATTGTATTGTGTTATATTGAGTGGTGTTATTCGACCTCCATTGGTATAAAACAAGATGATAAACTAGGCACTAGATACAGATGGGATAAACCAACATCCAAACAGGGAAAACAACAGTAAACTATAGAGTCCCACTAGAGTAGAGAGTTATACATTTGTTTGTTAGTAGGGAAGCCGTGTTTGTCAGTTGGAAAAGTGTTGAAATGTGAGGCTGTAACCGCAACAACAAGACATCCCTAGTGGTATGATAGCACTTTGTTTTGGCACAGAGCTTGTTGATGAGATGGTTGTACATATTCTCTAATAACAACGTGAGTAATAACAGAAATTACATTTAAAGATAGCCTAACCATGTGTTATCTTCCATTTTCTTTCTTTTGGGTAAGTGTATTTATCTACACAGGTGTCAGACTAGCATAAACCTGTGTATTCAAAGCTATGCGTTTCTTTCTGTTGAACAGAACCATGAGTGACTGTGAGGAGACAGACTACTTTTTGGAGTGTTGGACTTCGCCTGGGAAAAGAAAAAGAAAAAAGGACTCCAAAAAGGACAAAAAACGCTTAAAAAGCAAAAACAACAAAACCACGAAAACAGATGAGAACACCCAGAAAAAAAAGACAAAGAACAACTCCAAATTCAACAGAAGCGCAATGACCGGGAAGGCAAACGAAGAAAAAAGAAAAGAAGAAAAAGAAAAACAGACTGTCTCTGGCACTAGATGACAGTTTTGTAATTACGCAGGCCAGCAGTGCACAAGGGAAAGCTACTGTGAAGCCTGGAACAGCGACTCCATGCAGCAGTGACAAGCCACAACCTGATCACCTGACTCAAGACTCCAAGAAGAAAACAAAAAGGAAAAAGAAAGTGGCGTTTGATTTATCCCCAGGCTACATCCGCGTCAAACGTCCTAAATTTGTCTCTTCATCTCCGCAGTGTCCCGAAGAGAGCGTCCTCTTAGTGCATGAGGCTGTGAGAGAGAGTGAGAGCTGTTCGCAGGTCACAGTGACAGGGCACACACATGATAATGACTCTCAATGCAACAGTGAGGACATAAACAGCCAGGACCTGTTCATCACCCAGAAGACATTCAGAGTGTCGCCCTCTGAGGCTTCCAGCGGTGAAGCCAGTGACACAGCCGTTGCTGAAACGCCTGAAATGTTCATGCAGCAAGACGAGCGGCACACGTGTGTGGCACAGATAAAGCAGCATCTGGAAGGATCGTACAAAGGTCCACAGGACTCCCTTTCCCATGAGCATCGCAGACAGACAAACCAGGGTGTGAAGACGCAGAGGAAAGAAGAGGGGTTGAACAATGCACATCATAATGTCAAGAAGGGAAAATTGTCCTTTCAGACACAGATGGAGCGAAACGCAAATCTTACTGAGGAGAAAAATGGCTCATGTCCTGTCCATATGAAGCCCAGTGTGCTGGATCCTTACCTGGCAGAACCAGTTGTTGTAAACTCCTCCCCTGAACAGTCCATGACAAGCACCGCCACGCAGACAGAAAACTTCTTCACCACCGAACTCTCCTCCTACCTCAGCTTCTGCCAAAGAAGTAGAGGGATTGAGGACTTGAGACCTTTGGACCTGAGCCTGCCGCAGAGGGCCAGAAAGGACCTCGGGACATCGTCTTTACCGGGAGAGATCAAAGGTGACAACCACAAAGATCCCATTCTGCGTCGATCTCCTTCCTCGGGTTTGAAAGATGTCGAGGTAAAGAGAGAGCCTTCTGGTCGACAGGCTTGTTCTGTGAGCACACGGGGGAAAGGCAAATCAAGTCTGCACCCGCAGTCAGAGTCTGAGCCCAAGTCCACAGACACGTCAACCTCCAGCGAGGACAACGAGACCCCCTGTCGCACTGGCAAGCTGGACCTGACCCAGGTGATACCCTACCCACTGTTACTCTGGACCATGCAGCCACCAAATACCTTGTGTCTTGCACAAGATACAATATTCACACATTTGTTTCTTAGGATCCAGTCAGTCAAATTACACAGAAGAATAGATACTTCAATTCAAAGCATCTTAAAATTGCAGTTTATTTCTCTCAAACTCCTTTTAGAAACTGCTACGATGTCCAAAAAATAACTGACCTGAGATCCACATGGAATGAAATGAAATCCTACCAATATTTCATCTCTACACTTAAAAGATAAAACTGGCAGCATTACATATTTTTCCACCAACAATTAATTGATCCTACTAACAATTATAGACCTTTTTCACGGCAGCCATTTTGACATGAAATAGTAGGATAAACACAAACGACACTAATTAAGTAAATGAACTATAAATGATCGCCATGCGTCGTGTGTAGTCTTGTTGTGTAACACGTAGCATTCATTTGAATCCTTTATGCTGAATGAGTATTAACATGACTTACTGACGTCTGCCCTCAGACACAATCCTAAAACAACCAATTATAAATCAGTTTTATGCTTGAAGGTCCAGTGTGTAACATTTAGCAGGATCATTATATATATTATATATATAATATTCTATATTATAACATTTAGAGGTATGTTTTCATTAGTATACATAGATGTAACATTATGACCACCTGCCTAATATATAGTTTAGGCCCCCCTTTTACGGCCAAAACTGTCCTGACACGTTGAGGCTTGGACTCCACTAGAAGGTGTGCTGTGGTATCTGGCTCTAACACGTTAGCAGCAGATCCTTTAAGTCTTGTAAGGTTGTGAAGTGGGTCTCCCGTAGGATCGAAATTGTTTGTCCACGGCACCATCCCACAAGATGCTGCGAATTGGATTGAGTTTTGTGGAATTGAGTCAACACCTGAAAATCGTTGTTGTCCTCAAAAGCTCTATTCCTGACCATTTGTTGCTTTGAGACAATTATCGCACGCGCATTATACTGCTAAAAGCAGCCCCACTGCCATCAGGATACTGTTTCCATGAAGAAGTACATGTCTGCTACAGCTGACTTAGGTAGTACTGTGTCAAGTAAACATCCTAGATGAATGGCATCACCAAACAATATAACCTCCTCGCCGTAGCGGCTTGCCTTCTTCCCATAGTCATACCATTGGTCATGTGTTCCCCAGGTAGCAACGCAATGCACCCGCATCCACAAAGTTAACAGAAAACCAGGTTTTATTCAGACCAGGCCACCTTCTTCGCGTTGCTCCATGGTCCAGATTCTGATGTCACATGCCACTGTAGGTGGCTTTTGGCAGCTGGACACTGGTCAGCCTAACCTGGTCACGCGCGATTGGCCAGTCCATACCAAACAAACTGATGCACTGTGTGTTCTTGACCCCTTCTATCAGACCAGCATTAACTGCTTTCGCAGATTTGAGCTTACAGTAGCTCGTCTTCTGTTGGATCGGACCACACGGCCAGCCTTCACTCCACAGTGCATCAGTGAGCCCTTGCCCCCCATGACCTGTCTCCGGTTTCTTTTCCTTCCTTGGACTCTTTTGAATAGATACTGAACCTCTGCAGACGGGACACACCCCGCAAGAGCTGCAGTTCCTGGAGTGATGCTCTGACCATTCGTCTAGCTGGATCACAAATGTGGCCCTTGTCAAAGTTGGCTCAATCCCTCACACTGCCCTTTTTTCCTGCTTCTAGACACAGTCAACTAGGAGGCGACATGTTTACTTGCTGCCTAATATATCCCACCCACTGACAGGTGCCATGATAACCAGATAATCAGTGTTATTCACTTCACCTGTCAGTGCTCTCAATGGTATGGCTGATCGGTGTATATTAGTGTGAAAATAAGAATTGTTGTGTTTTTGTTACCGTAGAATGAGCTGGTATTTCTGCAGACACTATGGATTGCCTTATGTGGTGACCGCCATGTTTCTACGGTAAACTTTAAAGGACAAACCAAACACTGGCTCTAGATGGGGCCGTTTGCGTTATTGTTGCGCAGCCACTCTAGTTGATCCCTCGCGCTTGGAAAGGGAGGGTGAAGCGAGTGAGTTGCAATCTGCAAATACACCACTACATGCCACTAAATCCTTCACACTGGACCTTTAAATGAAATAGAATTCTCAAAAATATAAAACTCACTGAACCCATCAAACAGTGCTGAAAAAAGGGCCTTAATGGTGACTCCCACACTTCTGTATGTCTTCCTGTTTGAATGTTTGCTAATAACTAAAAGTGCCCAGATGTTTCAGAAATTTACTGAGCCTTGAATTGTGTTTTCCTTTAACCAATAAACAGTCGGGCCTGCTGCTAAGCAATGACAAAAATGCTTGTTGTGTTAATCAGAATAGTTTGTACCAAATTAATTAAAGTGTTTGCCACTGTTCAGTAACAAAGACTTCTTGTTTGACTTCAGGTCAGAGCAGTCCAGACGAGACTCAACGAGTCCTTCTTTTTCAAGACAAAAGGAGAGGGGCTGTCGCCCAGGCCGGAGTCTCCACTGATGAAACTCGCTCAGGGCAGAGACGTGAAGAGCAGGAAGGGCCACTGAGGTCTTATGGAAGGATGGAAATGAAGGTTTCTGGACTTCAGCTCGCAGGCAGCGGCTGACACGGTCTGAAACAGTATTTAATGTATTGACTTACAGAGCAGCCAGGTGTCAGATTAACAGTTAAAACATACTAAAACTCAAGCTGGATGTTATTAGGAATGAAAAGAGAAATTAAAAAAACCTTTAACAGTACGAGACATTCTGTCCCAAAATGAACTTATGGAGAAAAAAAATCATTAATGATGGCTTTATGTATTTATCAGTTGTTAGTTTTCTAGTTGGACTTTCCTATAATGTTGTTAGTGTAGGCAGGTTAAGGTGCACACAGGTTCAAATGTCACAATGTTTTAGTAACAGCTTTTTGAATGTTTTCAGTAATGACATCAAATTGTCGTTCATAGCTTTGCTCGTTGTCTGTTCTGCATGAAAGCAAGTCTGTTAGTTAAAGTTTATTTATTACAAAAGGGACAGCGGTTTACTTACTGTGCAATCTGTAAGATAAACGGTCTGAAACTGAACAGTGTTTTTCCAAATTACCTCAGTGAAGTTTCAGTATTAAGCTATCTTCATTCATTTCACCTCCACAGCAATGTAGCAATGTAATTTGTCTCGACAGATACAAATAGTTAATCATCCATTTCTGCTCCAACAATGAACTGCATTAAGGTTCAGGATTAACACAAGATAACTTGGAGCATCACATTGTACCGACCAAATGTTCAGGATTTACTTTAATACTTTGAGATGTATGAAACTTGTCAACAGGGGCTTGTTTATTAGCTGTTGTGACTGTAACATATTATCATTCTGTCTTTTAAGCAAGCCAATTACCAGTATTCCAAAGAAAATAAACCTTTATTTATATTTGTTGCCAGTTATTACACAGAGCAGTTATTACACCTTAAAAAAACAGTATTAGCATTAAAGCAAAACTCCAACTATGGTTACTCCCAGAACTGACTTCTTCTGTGTGTTTGTGGAGAAAGCAACATTTTCTGCTATTAAACTCCATTGTAGCTGAGCTTGTAATGTACATTTTATGAACCCACAAACACAAAAATGGAAGAAATACAAACAGATGATTTAATTGAACCGAAGTGTTTTCAGGTGGGTCAGAACAGCCTAGTTGTGTCTAAAGAGCTTGATCCCCATCCAGCTCCAGAGGTGGAAGAAGACGTAGACGGGGATGGTGACCGGCAGCAGCAGGCTGTAGAAACACAGACTGCTGCTGCTGGTGCAGCCCTGAGGGAAGTTCTCATCCACCGCGGCAGAGTAGAACAAACCGAAAAGAGACACTATCGGGACGAGCCCCACCATCACGGACAGGGAGAACATAGTTGCAGATGGCTTCTGATACAGGGTTCCTCTGTATGTATGGAGTAAATAAATATCTGAGGTGATATATTACATGTACGTTTAGCTAGTTCTCACTGTGCAGCAATACAGTATGTAAGCAGAGCAGAGCAGGATCCAGCTGCTGGGTTACAGAACCACTGTGTCGTTCAGTCCAACAGCCTTTACAACGCGTTAGGTCTGCTTGCGTGGCTCAGCTGGCGGCGCTGTGAGGGCGTCTACCCTTGCGTTGGTGTGGTTGAGGTGTCTTTCTGTATGAGTCGGGCTTCCTGAGGGATCATGTTGGGGATGCCACCAACGATGGGATAGGCGATACCGAGCTCCTCGTTGATCAGCTCATTGGTTTTAGCCTCGTACCTGGGGAGGGACAAGAGCAACGTAATTCTTCTACAGTGCACTCCGTTCTCAGTAACACCGATGCCTTCACAAGTCATCTTTTTTTTTTCAGTCTCTAGCTGAGAAAGCTTGTTTCACCCCTGTGAAGTTTACTGTTTTAGTACATTGTAAAATATAATTCCCACATTACTTTAAAAAAAATACCCACTGACTGCAATAAAGACGTCGCCATAAATCAGAAACTATCTAATCCTCAACCTCTCTCAATCTAATCAACTCTCAATTCAACTGGTTGCCATTTGTGCTCCAATGCTGCCATCTAGTGGTGACTTTGGAGAACACACCACATTAAATAGAAAGCAGGTCGAGTGGGTTTCACCTCAGAAACTGATGGAAGTAGCACCAAAATGTAAACGCCTTAAGACAGTCAAAACGTGTTACCAGGGTATTTTCTGTCTATTTTTAATGTGGAAGTCGAACTAGGTCCAATCCGCGTAACATACTCATGAAATGTTGCATAATTATCTTCATGGTTATATTATAATATGCATGAGTTTGCCACAAGGTAACATGTATATGAGCCCGCAGGCTGGGCCTAAAGTACACAAGTTAGGTACATTAATTTTTCGTGTCAACAAAATAAAATAGAGTATATATATGTTGGTAGGCCTTTAGGGCAGTGCCTTCAATGATGACTTTACTCCAAACTGCACAATACCATCTACAGTTAATGCAGCTCTCCTGAACATTAGTCTTACAGACTGACTCCAGTGCTGAAGGGCTGCTGACAGCTTTAGCTGCGTTTGAAGTCCGCAGCTTCGACTCTTCTTTCGGCACAAATAGAAAAACAACTCCATGGTCTTCCTCCCATTGCCCCGTGTATCTGTCTCACCTCAGCGGCTTCTTGGACAGCGGACAGACCAGGAACTCGAGCAGGGAGGCGTCGAAAGGCGGCTGCACTTCGTCCTTCACGTCCGAGAAGCTCCTGAGCGGCGCGGGAAGGGCGGCGGCGGTCAGCCTCTGTATCACCGGCGCTCTGCTCACATAGCGGTGGACACCGGCTGTTTCTGTCACCAATCTACACAAAACATTCCCAAACATGACCAAAAAGTGACCAACGAGCTCGCGAAAAGTGCCCGACAGGAAGCACCTGCACAGACACCGTGTAACCGAAATATGAGTCCCCTTCCTGTACACTTACAACGGTACTCATTAGTTCCGCTTATCCAGCAACCCGCTTTCACAAGATTATTATAGACCGTTTCAACTGCTTATCCCTAAACTGTTTGGGGTTTTATATATAAGATATTAGCTGTAATAGTTAATATAGGTATACTTATGAGTTGGTTGTTTCTACATTAGTCCGCATGGTGGCAGTGTTGCACTGTTCAGCTCAGTATAGATAACTTCGGGTGTGATTTGACTATAATGTGGAACCACAATAATTATTAAAAAAAATTAAAGCAATGTGGATTGCATTCATTTGGTCAGCTGGACCACAATAGACACTGTTTGAACTGTGGTTTCATTTAAGCCCAAAGACAGCCTGAACTTGATTTCCCAGCAGGTTCTATACAATATTAAATATTGTCATCCCCGTGCCAGCCGGAGCAGAATGCATTCCCACATCCATATGGCTGAAGATATTGCTCTGAGACTTTCTTGGCAGGGCCCCAACTTGTTTTAAAACTGCTTCTAGCTGTAATATATCCCACTGCTCGGTACATGACAGACCTGCTAATATAGTTTTTTTTTTCTGTAGCTGCCAGGCCTTGAATACACTCTGTAGCTGTGTACCTTCTTTCACTGGGTCTGTTTACTCATGAGAGGTATCCATCATCTCTGACATATTCCACGGAGCACTGGGGCTGAAATAATACTGAAAACAGGACAAATGTGTTCAAGCCAGAATGTACTGCAATGTACTGTAGCACAAATGATGAAGTGACCGGCTGATGCGTAAGTGGAAACTATAGTATTCAAAACAGACAATTACAGTTCCATACAAGATGCTCTTGAATGCAACAGTAGTTATCACACCAAGGCCATTAAAACTATGTTATTTTCTGCAAATCACATATTTATCCTAACACACAAGCTGGATCATACTAGAGCCAATTTCTGGCTGTCTTATGTATACTGAGGAACATCTGGACACGACCAGCCAGCCACTGAAAGTCCTGATGCTCTGATCTAATTTACCACAACATTGCTCTTGAAGTGCTGATGAAGTTTCACAGTGGTGATGAGAGAGATATTAGGAGGAAGCGTTATCTATGCCAAGAAAGATTAGATTGGATAACTCTGTTTTAAGACATTTTTTATATGTTGAGCCAAAGAGATACAGGAACTTTTAAAATACAGTGTTTTGTTCCAGAACACCTCTGATAAAAATCACTGATATTTGTAGTAACATAAATTGTAAAAAGCCCAGTCTTGGGAAGTATAACCTTGTTCAACAGAACAAACTTTGCTTCAATTCACACAATATGAACCACACAATGAGGATATGAAGAAATAAAATAAAAAACTATATAATTATTTAACATTTCTGTTTTTAGCGGCTTTTGACAAACACCGTTTCCCATGAGCCCAAGGCGTTTGTGGTTTAAACGTCACCAGAATGTCAGAAGACGTGACAGAAGATGAGACAGGGAGGGCAGAACAGTGTATATGCTTTCAGACAGCAGAGATTACAGCTAAAAGTTTAAAAGATGACATTAGAAAAGGGCATTGTTGGATCTGTCATGGATATTGCTGTATTTACGCCATATTGTTCAGACTATAATTACAAGCAGCCGAGTGAGAAAAAAAAAGTTGTCAGCCCCCCAGTTAAAATTTTGAGATATTGGGAATTTCTGACAGTTACTGTCTCCCACCTGACAAAAATAACTACATAAACGTCAACTGTTGGCAAAATGAATGCAAAGCCACAGATGTTAGTGGTTTCATCTAAATAATATACAATATTATCACTGTTACAACCAATTTAGCTTATTAAAAAGGAAACGTACGTTGTGTTTGTGAATTCACTTGTTAAGGAGCCGCTACTGGCTAGAGATATGTAACACAACACAAGTAGCTAATTGCTCTTAGCTTTTCTGTCAAAATTGCATGAATATGGCTTAAAGGACAAACTAGTGTATTTTGTGCCCTGGGAGCTGTACCTTTTTGTTTGTATGCTACATAGTTGTGTAACTTTGTTAAGACTGCTATCATCATGTTAAAGTTCGTAGTGGTGCTCGCATTAACAAACCCACAGGCCAACCTACTATAGACTACCTGCTCAGCACCAAACAGCAGGCTGACAAAGTTAGAAAACTAGGTGGTGAACATAGTGGAGCATTTAATAGCTAAAGATAAAGATATTCACAGGAGCTGGTGAAGACTAAAACAGAGCTAAAAGGAGGGTGAATATTTTACACATTAACACTAAAATGAATGTTACTCCAAATGAATGCAAATTATGTTCTGTATCTGCTGGACCTGTAAATAAGCCATTGTTTGCCATATCAAAAGGCCATTTTATGTCAGTGTTGTCTTTACAGCTTGTTTCTGTTGCCTCCATGTGGTCAAAAAATCAGTTAATGCAGATTTATAATCTCAAATAGCAACCTGCACGGTAGGTGGATGCTGACTCAAGCATGACTGTGTGAATCACTGCTTTGGTCTGATGGGTTGACGTCAGTGACGCACACCAGAGTACAGTAACTGAGGACAGTTCTGGTTTCAAGCCAGTGGTTGCAGTGTTTTTACTAATATCTAAAAAAATATAAAAAAACTTCACTGGGAGTCGATCGAATAAGGCTCCACACTTCTGCAGAGACAGCACAGCCCTCTCACCAACAGGCGGCTCGGACTTGGCAGGGAAGATGGCGGGTCCCTGCCAGGGTTGTTACAACACTAATAACTTCTAAGCTTTCTGGGCACGGAAAAGGTTCTCTCATAATCTCACTGCCATCAACACAAATGCTACTCTGCATTTCACCAGCAATGTTGCCTTAAATTGGCTCAGTGCGTCAGACCTTCATGGATGTGTGCACAAGGCCCGGTGTCCCAGTTTGGGAGATTGTTTATGTGTTATATTTTCCACCCATGGTGTGTTTTCTGTGTGCAGGAGATCCTCAGAGACAGTGAAGTGATACAAACTTCACAGCAGCTTCTTTTCAGCCTCTCTGTAGTTCCCTACAAGTGGGAGAAAGAACCGTGCTTGGAAGGCAGCGGCTCGGTGCGCTGTGCTCTCAGCAGCAGAGCGTGGGGCTTTTTTGCGTAGCCTGTCTTTTGACAGATTCTTCATCAAGCCCACTCCTCCCAGTGATGTTTGACAGAGCTTTCATCAATCACACACCTCTGCTGACCCTCTCAGAGCCGCTCACCTTTGCACAGATACAAGAGTTCTCGGTGATGACGTCTTAGACCGCTTCAGGCTGTGTTTTTCAGGTTTGCTCTCCTGGTTTGTATTGAGGAGACGTCTTCAAGAGGCAGGAACAGTGACAGACTCGACAGAGCTTTCACAGCCTGGTGGTGATATCTGATTCCTCTTTTATTTTTCCTATTTTTTTCTCCGGGCAACTGTCATGGTGAACGGACGGAATTCTGTATGTTTCATAGTGATAGAGTGAATCCGACAAGGCTGCACACCTTTCTACAGGCTTTCACTGCATAATAGAATATTTCCACTTATTAGTCTAATTACCACTGACCCATATACAGAGTTTATGGTAATGCCAAGTTAGCCCTCCCCAGTTTCCACTCTATTAACAAAGTAAAAGCCTTCATTTCCACATTTTATTATCTCATCTTGTTTGTAGGTATCCACTTACAAGTCCATTTCATACCTGCCTCAGGACCCAGCAAGCTGAAGTTATGTTTCCATAACTGCAATGATAACTAACATTTAAAATGTTATCTCTGCTCTGCACACAGAATTAGAATAAAACATATTAAATTAATGTATTCTTGAGTTCCTTATATGTGGCCCGCAGGACCTTATCCCACAAAATGAAAATCTTCTTGCGAAATTGAATGGCGCATGGGAATTCAATGTCATCCCATTCGGAGTTTGAGTTCTGATCGTTTCTCTGCTGAGCGTAGGTTTTATCCAATTAGAAACAGGAGATTAGTCTTTTTTCCTGCCAGGAGAGCTTTCATTTCCATGCTGAAATATTGCTGATGTAGCATTTGCTGCTTAATCTGATAATCAGATCCCCAAGGACTTCCTTCCCCTCCCGCCTTTCTTGTCTCCCATGCACCCTTAATCCTCCTCTCTCATGGCCTTCCTTCCTCTTTCTGCACTCCTTATCATCTCCGTTTCTACTCTTCTTCCCCTGCACCCTCGCCCGCCCCCCCCGGTTTCTTCCCCCGTCCTCCTTTCTTCCCACACCCTTCCCCTCTTTGCAGTCCAACACATTCCGCTGCCAACAAAGATAAAAAGGCTGAAGCTACTTGCCTAATGCAAGCTGATTGAATGGCACAGGCACAGATCCAATGAAGCATTGCCCCTTCCAATTAGGCCTCCTGTGGTCACCTGGCAACAGTGTTTAACGAAGTGTACCCTTCAATTTAAGTCTGCAGAGGGATTGGCTCAGCAGACGCGGTGAGCGCAATGAGCGCCTGTGAGCAAAGGTTGACGCTGCATCATTACCGCCTCCCTTTCCAAGTGCCTCGGAGTGCTTCGGCTGCTTTAAAATCACTTCAGTTGCCGTTTAGTGCTAACGCTGTTGCGGCGATGGTGTGCTGTTTATGATTGCTGCATGGCTCATGGGCTCATTGGATGTGCTAGGTTTTACAATGCCTTTGAATGTTGATGAAAGGCTATGAGACTTGTTTTATGACGGTATTCATGGTAACTCCTCCAAACAATATAGGTGCAGGGTTTCAAGCTCTTTTTTATGGCAAGTCATCCCAATTGGAAAATGCTTTATCACTTATAGAGGACAAAGGGCATAAAGCTGTTTTGATGCCTGGGCAGTGGCATCAGCTGTTAATGCCTTTAAGAAGCGGCACTGCGTTACAGGATGGATCCTTCCTTTTAGTGGAAAGATGGCATCGCTCTCTATAATCGGCTATCTATTAACAAGGAGGGAGAGGGGCAGCGGGGGGAGACCCGTGCAAGTAAAGATAAGGACAGGGGAAGAGGTCTGAGCGGAGGAGGGTGAGAGGAAGGGGAGGGACAGCAGAGAGGGATAATGACAAGAGGGGATGAGGTGGGAAGACTGACGAGCAAGACAGTCCCATCCCAGTTCCTCCAGGGTGGGCCTAACAAGAGAGTAGGATTGCTTGCCTGGAGGTGATAATTAGTGTATCCTCAGGAGGCTGCTGAGGGCGCAAGAGGCCCCACACATCTGGCCCCCAGTTCAGTTAAACTACAGAGGGCACCAGCTAATAGAGCTTACTGATTTCTTTTAAATTTTGGTCTGCAGCTGTTTTCCCGGCAGAGTTTTATGCTCGTCAGGGGTGGAAAATCTTGTAGAGGCATTCAGACCATCACTGAGAAGTCTCAAAGCCCTCCCAGACCAGGCTGGCATTTTTTAGATTTAGCCAGCTCCTTGGTGAGTCATGCCACATATTCTGGGAAATTTCACAGGACATTAATTTTAAGCAAGTCATGTTCTCAAGTTGGACCCAGCAGACAAATGCCAAGGTCAAATCCTTGTCGGGAGTCTTGTCAATTATCAAGTCTCTTAATGGCAAGTCACAAGTCAATTGTATAACTGCAAAGTGAAGTTAACAAGCCTCGTCAAAGGAAGGTCTCGAGGGGCAAGTATGCAAGTCCCTGGAGAGCAAGTCTAAAATGCAAGTCCCAAGTCCTGTCAAAAAGAAGTCTCATGTCAATTAAAACAAGTCTAAGCCCAAGTTCTTGTCCAAAGGCTTAGGCCAGGCTGCTTGTAATGCAAAGTGGACTCACACCACCTTTTTTTGGAAGGTTCAGGGGTAAAGGGGGCAGAGTAGGTCATCCCCCAATCGGGAAGGGTTGTTTGGGTTTGATTGTACACGTCGTCGGAAGTATCCTTGAGCAAGATACTGCACCCCAAATTGCTCCTGATGCATAAGCATTGGTGGTGTTGCTGAATGGTGTATTGAATTAGCTTAGTTTCTGCTTCGGGATGGACTTTTGCCATCCGCAGTGTGTAATGTTGTGTGAATTGTGGTGAAAGGTAGATGGTAGATGGTAAATGGTAAATGGACCTGTACTTGTATAGCTCCTTTCTAGTCTTCCGACCACTCAAAGCACTTTTACACTATGTGCCACATTCACCCTTTCACACACATTCACACAGCGATAGCAAAGCCCATCGAACAGAAACTAATGCATTCATACATTAACACACCAATGCACGGCATCGGGAGCGATTCGGGGTTCAGTATCTTGCTCAAAGATACGTCGACATGTGGCAACAGGAGCCGGGGATCGAACCAACAACCTTCTGACCTGCTCTGCCTCTGCGCCACAGCCTCCCTTAATTTAGCATCAATGCTGGGGGACTCCCTCTCTCTCCCTCTCTTTCTGCACACATTCCACATAAAAGAGTACACCCCAACAGATTTTGTCAGAATCCTTTTAGAATCAACAATTTTCTATGGGATACTATACTACAAAATAGATAAATGTTTTTGGAACTGATGGCTTCAAAACTGTATGGCGTAAGATGAGGAGAACAAAGAAAAATGCATGGTGCCTACAATGAAACGTGGTGGTGGTACTGTCCTGACCTGCTGGTGTCGGGGAGCTGCATTTTATTGACAGTATCATGAATTCACAGATGTACTGCTCTATATTGAAAGAGAAGATGCTACCATCACTCTGTGCCCTTTTCCAACATGACAATGATCCAAAACACACATCTAAGGCCAAGGCTTAATTAACATCAATATGATGTAAACATGTCATATTTATTCATTTCCAACTACTGTTATGGTTATTTTTTTCCTGTTTTATGTTGAAATAGCCCTTCTTTATCTGTCTTGTGTTACTTCACTTCCTGCCTTTGTCTGTTTTCTTGCCAGTGTTGATTGTTTGCCCCACCCTGATTAGTTTTACTTGGTTTTGACCTGTTCCTGCCTGACTATTCCATAAGCCTTTTTTGTATTTAATCCTTATGTTATTAAACCACCAGCATCAGTTCAGCCTCAGAGTCTGCATTTGGGTTTTACATTTGTGACATCGGTAGTCCTTGGGCAGGTTGATGTTGATCAAAATGCACATATGAGAATATAGCATTATGGTTCAACATGGCAGACATGGAAGGCAACCCACAGCATCTGTGGATAAAAACATATCTATGAATATTAGGTTCTCGGTTGCACAGGAAACCCCTAGTGAGCACATGAAACACCTATACCATGGATTGGCAAAATGTTTGTAATTACCTGATCAAAACTCCCTTGCGTAGAAACAGACCACGAGACATCAAAATTTGTTTTAAATGTAGTGCCATGCAATGGGAGAAAGAGGTAAATTTGACCGCCAAGAAATTGTCATCTAGGATGCATTTAACAATGAGCCAATCAGGATACATTTAACATTCAGTGAATCAGGTTGCAATAAACATTCAGCATTTAACAATAAGCCAATAAGAAAGCATTTAACACTGAGTCAATCAGGATACATTTGACATTCAGGCAAACTGGATGCAGTTTAACAATAAGCCAGTCAGGATGCATTTAAACATGAGCCAATTAGGATGCATTTAACATTCAGCGAATCAGAAAGCTTTTAACATAATGCCAATCAGGATGCATTTTAAAATCAGTAAATCAGGATGAATCGAACATTTAGCCAATCAGGATGTATTTAACAATCAGGCAATCATTGTGCATTACAATTTAGCCAATAAGAATAAACTGAAAATTAAGCCAGTCATTGCACATGTAACAATAAGCCAAACAGGATGCATTTAACATTCAGCCATTTTAGGATGCATTAAACAATAAGTCATTCCAGATGTATTTGAGAGTTAGCCAATCACGATGCATATAGCAATGAGCTGATAAACATCAAGTTGGCGCCGCGGAGAGTCGCCACCGGTACTGCGCTCTCTAGTACTTTTTGTGTTTTTGTTTGATTTGTTCTGTTTTCTGCTCTCCTTCTCTAGTCACATATACCAGAGATGAGCTCTTAAACATTGGACTTTCCACTGCACAATCTATAGCTCCAATTTTCATTGATCCTGGAACTTTGTACAACTAAAAAAGACTAATACAGATCTGACGTCCTGTGATTCACTAAAACCTGGCTTGGTGAGCACATCCCAGACACCTCACCTCACCTCACCTGCCTGGATTTCACCTCCTCCCAGCAGGCTGTGTAACGGAAAACGAGGGGAGGCGAAAACTCTTTTATATTAACATAAATTAGTGTACAGATGTCACAGTGCTCAGCAAATCATACAGCCCTCACTTATTCATAAACCTCAAACCCATTTATTCCTTGTTTATTCTGGTTGGTGTTTACATCCTACCTCAGGCCAGTGTTAGTGAGTCAAAATACAGACAGCATATTAAGTGTCCCACCAGGGACATTAACACTCTGGACCATATACAGTATTACTCTGCTGATTTTCTCATTTACTCAGAAGACAAGAGCTTTTCCTCACATGTGTGGCAGGGCCTCTTCAAGTCTCTTTGCTAGATGAGCTTGGGCACATTTCTAACATCTTTTATTCTCCTTAATCCAACTGGCAGCCTGGTCTCTTGTAAGTGCAGCAAAGTCAGTGCACTGGCTCAAATAGTGTACAGTGCTATTGCAGTGGGGGCAGAGAACCTTTCTTTTGCTAATAACCTTTGGTGGCCAAACTGCTAGAATGGTCTGGCTTGTAGTGTGCTCTGCTCCATGCATAACAGTGGCTTGTAGATGTGTAGGTCAGGGGGTTTCTGTTCCCCCTTCACATGGAAAACTTGGTCTGTGGGGTCAAATTCAAAACTGTCTCCAGCTGCAGCCACTCTGCAAATTCTAGCAAAGATGTTTTTACTTGGTTGGTGTTCTTCCTAATCTGGTGTCTCCTGAATCTCTGATGCTGGGAATGTGGTAGTCTATTCAGTAGATGTTTCACATTTGATCCACTATGCAGCTCCTTCACACCATCTTCTTTATTGGCTCTCAGCATTTCAACACACTCAACAACAAATACACTGACTTTTATTACATCTCACTGGATTTGGAAACATCATCTGGAAGGAACAACTTAACTTATACTTGAATGTGTTTATTGCTCAATACTATCTATTACTGCTGTGTTACTACAGCTTTCTCTTTATCTTCTTTCTGACCACTACTAACAGAACAAAAATTTGACAACATTGACATGATGTTCTCTCTCCAGATCTAAGCAGCATATTGGTAAAGTCAGTCTGGATTTATTGGTGAGTGTTTCTGCTGTTTGGGTATTGACCCAGTCGACTCTGAGAAGTCTGCTCTCCACTCAATGGGTGGTAATTGGATATAATCCTCAAACATTGTTTGACAAAAACGTAAACGTGGGTCACCTTCATTGCTGAGCAAGAGATCAGCAGCAATAGACAACTGGGATAGAGAGCAGAGGGCTGCAGGTTGGAATCAAACCCAACCCAATTACTTATCAGCTTTTTAAAACTGCTGGTCTCACCAGCCACCTTGATGCCACCCCCAGCAAACCACCACAAAGAACAGTATGCTGGTTACTACAGACAGGTAAAAGATCTGCAGGAGGCTGTAGCACACATCAGCTCCAGGAAAGCAGTTAGCGGGTCCTCAGGTGCTGTAGAACCAGCAGCTGTGGCTCAGGAGGTACAGCGGATCCCCTGCTCCTCCCTCTGCATGTCAAAGTGGTCTTGAGCAAGATGCCGAAGCCCAAATGGTTCCTTGTGAATTGGTGTGTGAGTGTGTGCCAATGTGCTTAGTTTCGGTTTCTGATGAGCAGTTGGCAACTTTAAAGGCAGCTTTAGCGTATTAATGTGTGTGAAGGGGTGTATGTGACATAGTAGTATAAAGCACTTTGAGTAGTCGGAGTGGCCGCTTGTACACAGAAGCACAACCTTCGCACAGTAATGAGAGTAAATGTAATTTGTTGCTTTCACAACTGAAAACTACCAATGACACTCTGGTTCCATGCATATGAAATTATTTTGTTGCATATAACTATTTACAGTTTTCAAAAAAATGGAACAAGAAAGTGAGATATCTGTTTCTAGATATTTTATTGTTTTATTGTATTTATTGACCCATTAACTTTTTTAATGCAAGCTGTGACCAAACATATTTACTAAAGTGAAGAACTAGAGAAGGAACAAATACAGGAAGTGACCTAAATGCCACAGTAAATTATTTGTTTACTATCAAATGCTATCTGTCACAGTATGCACAGTCACTGCCTGTATCACTGCTGACAGAAGCATTTGCATAGTATCTCAGTATCAAATATCACTTAAAAAATATATTCTAATAAAACATTTTTTTAGTTAGAATATCCCAAGCTCTACATTATATATATAGATATACATTATACATATTTATGTATATGTGTGTGTTCTCTACTACTACACAGCACCTACATATTTAAATTAGCAGACCAAATGCTATTGCCCAGATCTAGAAAATTAAAGGGAAATAAGGGAAACTTGTGGTATGGTATTTGTCAACATGAATGTTAATTTTTTTTACCAGGGTCATGTCCATCATAACATTTTATTCACTCCCTCAGCTGGAGACAGAGTTGGGAAATGCAGCAACAAAAGTGTCTAAACAAAATCATCTCAAGACCTCTAGCATTTTTCTCCCTGTCGTTACTATAACAAACTCTTTCTGCTCCCTTTTCCCCAAATCTCTACAAATAATGTTATCATGACCAAGAGTCAGCTTAAAAATATCTGAGAATAGAACACAGGTTATTAAATACTTATGTTCCCTTTAAGGCAATCAGCTGATATAGTGTGTTTTACAGCTTTGGCTGTGACTACAAAATGGCTGTTTTGGAAGCGTGCACTCCTAGTGATGTTTGATGAGTGATGAAGATTATACACCAGAAAGTATTTCTCTGGCCTGTGTCTGATGCCTGAACGCATTCCATCCTTTTGCAATATCCAATCTACTCTATCTTCACATCTTGCATCAAAAATACAGAACCTAACTACATTAAGTAATTTATGTATGTGTACTATTAGACTTCATACACAGTCAGCAGACAGTCTTTCTTTCAGAGCTCCATCTTCCCATCACTCACTGAGCTGCTGGCAGTTCCACCTTCAGCCATGGAGCTGGAGGTGGACAAGGTGTCTTTAGGCTGGAAAGCCAGTGAGGCAGAGTTAATGCAGTAGCGTTTTCCAGTGGGCCTTGGTCCATCATCAAACAGGTGTCCCAGATGAGCTCCACACTGAAACCCAATGGGAAAGATTGATATGCAGCTTTTTGGCATTTTAGTAACAAGTTCTACCAAGTTCGGTGGCTCTAAAACAAAATTCTAATGGTTTGATCCCACCAAATGTGGATAAAATACAAAACAAAAAGACAAAGGCAATGCAAAAAATGTATGGCATTTGCGCTAGTTGAAGAGCGAGCTTCTTGCTGGGCTTTTGTAGTGTTTTGTGGAGAAGACCTGTTGCTCAGGAGGTAGATAACCATAAAATACACAGGAGAAGTAAAAAAAACAAAAAAACATCTGGTATTTTATTCTCATGCCTTATTTACAATTATTCAAATATTTGTTCTTATTTTTGTTAATTTTTTTTTTTTTAAATAATGACTACTACTGATAATTGAGTAAGCAACAGATACTGTGAGGTGTAATGCAGTGTTGAGTGTACCTGGCTGCAGGTAGTCTCCACTCTGTGCATCCCATAGGAAAAATCATCAGTCTGGACGATGGACTCCTCCTTCACAAGGTCAAAGAAAGACGGCCAACCTGAACACATGACGGTATCATGTTAAGAAGGTGTTAGCACAGATGAAGTGACATGCAGGGGACAGTGATAATTCATGAGACAGCACTGGTCATACTGTGAGTTTGATCGGTTGGCATGATGAGTCCTTATGACTTTGGTGATCCTCTGACTTTTCAAAATGATTATTTATCCAATACTTTATAACCATATGCCTGAAAAACGTGACATTCCCATGAGCCTCAGCTGTACTTTGTGTTTTGTGCTAACAGCAAATGTTAGCATGCTAAAGTAAGATGGTTAACATGGTATACATTATACCTGATAAAACATCAACGTTAGCAATGTGATTGTGAGCGTGTTAACTTGCTGATGTTAGCATTTAGTTCAAGTACGGCTGTGCTTAAGTAGAGCCTTAAGGAACTGATTGCGAGGCTTTCTGTCTTGTTAAAGGAAATACTGCATTGGGGACGATCACACAGGGACTGCAGCACTCATCAATGTCACACTTGGCCCAGGCAGCCAATCAAATCAAGCAAGATCGCCCAGCTGTGCACGTTGCCTCGCTCCACAGGCGCACGGTCTGTGCCATGGCGTTTCTAAAGTGGCCGCAGCTGTAGTAATGCATCTCCGTGTGATCGCCCCCTTACATTGTGTTCAGCTTAGTATGTACTACATATTTTTACCAAAAGATATGCACATTAATGTAAACTTCAGGTCAAGAAGGCCTCAGGACCGACAGGTTGGGAACCAGGAGTTTAGAGCATCAACTAATCCACAGTCCAGCACATTCACAACAAATTGATTGCAAGCTCTAAATAACTTATTGCTCTCAACAAAACAAACAATGTAGTGAAGTGCACTCTAATGTACACTGTGACACCAGTGTGAAACAGCATACTAAGTGTCCCACCAAGGATACTAACACACTGCTTAACATTCTTACAGGAACCCAACAGTACCAACCATGAGCAAGACCTTAGGCGGACGGGGGCAAGGGGGAAAAAACTCGTTAATTTCTGTTTCGGGGATGCGACTTTTGCCATCACTGGGTGAAATGTGTGTGAAAGAAGGGTGAATGTTTGGCACAGTAGGTTGTAAAAGCGGCTCTTGGGAGTGGTCAGGAAGAGCTAGAAAGGCTGCTATTAGCACAGTACGTTTACATTTGACCATTTGACTTCGCATGATTGGGGATGATGCCGGGTTGGATAAGGAGCTTCCCGGATCTAGACCTCGCTGTGTTGAAAAAGGTGTCCTGAGATAACGTTGGCTGTTATGATGTTGGCCGCCTTGTATACAAGTGGTGAATCTGAAGCTGAATCTCTTTGTGTGTG